AAGCCAGAGCTGTAAGCTAAAGGCTAACAAATACCCCCGCTCCTATATAAACCAGAACTGTAAGCTAAAGGCTAACTAATACCCCCCTCCTATACAAGCCAGAGCTGTAAGCTAAAGGCTAACAAATACCCCCGCTCCTATATAAACCAGAACTGTAAGCTAAAGGCTAACAAATACCCCCCTCCTATACAAGCCAGAGCTGTAAGCTAAAGGCTAACAAATACCCCCGCTCCTATATAAACCAGAACTGTAAGCTAAAGGCTAACAAATACCCCCCTCCTATATAAGCCAGAGCTGTAAGCTAAAGGCTAACAAATACCCCCGCTCCTATATAAACCAGAACTGTAAGCTAAAGGCTAACTAATACCCCCCTCCTATGCAAGCCAGAACTGTAAGCTTAAGGTTAACAAATACCCCTCGCTCCTATATAAACCAGAACTGTAAGCTAAAGGCTAAATAATACCCCCTCCTATACAAGCCAGAGCTGTAAGCTGAAGGCTAACAAATACCCCCGATCCTATATAAACCAGAACTGTAAGCTAAAGGCTAACTAATACCCCCTCCTATACAAGCCAGAACTGTAAGCTAAAGGCTAACAAATACCCCCGCTCCTATATAAACCAAAACTGTAAGCTAAAGGCTAACTAATACCCCCCTCCTATACAAGCCAGAGCTGTAAGCTAAAGGCTAACTAATACCCGCACTCCTATATAAACCAGAACTGTAAGCTTAAGGCTAACTAATACCCCCCTCCTGTACAAGCCAGAACTGTAAGCCAAAGGGTAACTAATACCCCCGCTCCTATGTAAACCAGAACTGTAAGCTAAAGCAAAAAAGGGTTGAAATCCCAAATTAAAGTGCCAGTGCACAACTACATAAGATACCGATCATTCATGCAAAGTTTCAATGAAATCCACCTGTTAGTTAAGGAGGAGTTTTCCGAACAAGTTACTGTGGACGACAGACAGACAGGGTGATTCCAGTATACACCCCCCCCCCCCCCCCCCCCCCCCCCCCCCCCCCCCCCCCCCCCCCCCCCCCCCCCCCCCCCCCCCCCCCCCCCCCCCCCCCCCCCCCCCCCCCCCCCCCCCCCCCCCCCCCCCCCCCCCCCCCCCCC